AATACAAGTTTAAAAAATTTTTTTTTCTGGTCTTTTTTAGACAGGGTCTCCCTGTAGCCCTACCTGGCTTGGAACCAGGCTGCCTGCCTCTGCACCCCACCCCCATCCCCCAGTGCTGGAACTAAAGGCATGCACCACCACCCCTGGTCAAAAAAAAAATTTTTTTTTTCCAGAGCTAAAGACCAAACCCAGGGCCTTGCGCTTGCTAGGCAATCACTCTGCCACTGAGCCAAATCCCCAACCCCCCAAAATTCCTATACATGTTTTTTAATTTTGTTTGTATTTAAAGTTTCTTTTACCCATTTCTTCTGCCTTCTGCTTCCTAGGGCCAAGAAGTAATAGTACAAATAATCCAACTTATACTGGATTTGAGCGTGATGTATTTAGAACAATTGCAGATTATTTTCAACATCTCTCTGAACCTCTGCTTACATTTGAATATTATGAATTATTTGTGAACATTTTGGGTATGTTTAACTTTTACTTATTATTTAAATTTATTCTGTTAAAGTTTTTAAGGCCTCCTAAAAGTTAAAATGTTAAAAAACATGGTAAATATGAAAGTGGTAGCCTATGAATTATTTCAGGATTTAGTGATACTGTGGTTGCTTCCGTTGTTGACTAATGGTTCCATACGTTCTACCACCAGTCTCCCTGACATCATGCAGTTTCACGTAGTTCTGACACAACTCCCTGAAGGTAGCCCAGATCCACAGAATTCTCCTTACTTCTGATGCTAGCTACAAATAAGGCCTCTCAGCTCCCAATACTTATGCTTCGACAGCTACCAATTCTAGAGTTCACTTGAACTCCTCTCCAGTTTAGTAATTCACTACAGAAACTCATGGAGCCCTGGAAAGTAACAGCATTTGTCAGTTTATTTTTAAAAGGGCATAACTCAGGAATCAGCCAAAGGGAAGTGATGCACATGGAGGGGCAGGGATGACTCAGCCTCTGTACCCCTCAAGGAGGGACAGTGCCCCAGAAAATCTGTATGTTCACCAACCCTAATCTACCTTAGCTTCATTATTTTAGAATTGGTAATTAAGGTTCATTACTTAGGTGTGATTAGTTAAATTATTACCCTTTGGTTACTCAACTCAATCCCCAGCCCTCTTTTCTTCCTTAGAGGTCGTAGGTGGAGCTGACATAATTAGCTATGAGTTACTTTAGCATACACTCAGGTATGCTCAGCAGGCTCCTCATGAATAACAATATTTTCATCACTCAGGAAATTCTAAGGATTTTAGGAATTCCATACCAGAAACCAAGAACAGAGACCAAATACAGGTGTAATTGTCGTTACATTCGTGTCCTCGGTTTCACATCCCTGGATTCAGCCAATCCATCAAAAACAATTTTTTTTTAATTTAGTTATTCAGAATGTGCAGGGTTTTTGTTCAACTTTGGTTTTGATTTTCCTTTTTATTATTCTCTGAACAGTATGATAAACATTTACTTGGTGTTCACATTGTACTAGGTGTATAAGTAATCTAGAGATAATTTTAAATATATGAGAGGCTATGCTTATGTTATATGCACATGGTACACAGTTTAATATCAGAGACTTACATCTGCAGATTTTATCCATGGCATCCCTGGAATCAGCCTTCCCATGTTAATCAAGAACTGACTGTATGTGTTCTGTTATATACAATTGCCTTTTAATTAAGAGGTTTTAAGAACTTACAGAATGAAAACATATTTTTAAATGTGCCCTGGCTCAATTTATCTAATCAACCTGCTAAAAATATTTTTAATTATATTACAGATAGGACTACAACTAGTCAGTCTTGCATGTGTATAACCGAATGTTGCATGTGTCCTGTTCAGGTGGCTTCTGAATGAAGCAAATGCTTTTTGTACTCTACTAACAATATGTATTATAGTGATGCTTCATGTTTTAACTGCTATTGTTTTTGTTTTATTTTTATTCATTATCATGCAGTTGCATCTTAATTTTTGTTTCATTTCCTGGTAGTTGTTTGTGGCTACATCACAGGTTCAGATAGACCAAGTTGGATACATAAAATCCGAAATGATCCACAGTCTTCAAAAATCCTTCCTTTAAGCAATTTGAATTCCTTCAAATCAACTGAATGTCTTCTTCTCAGTCTGCTTCACAAAGACAAAAGCAGTGATGACTCGGAATCCACTGAGAGACTGCAGAGAAGTGATCAAGTATTTCAAGAAAAATGTGCTAAGAAAATGCAGCTAGTTAATTTAAGAAACAGAAGTGCCAGTACTAATGACATAATGGGAGGAAGTTATCGTAATTTAATAGGCTTAAGTAATATGCGTGCCCTGTCCTCTAACATCAAACCAAGATGCTCTTCTTTGGAAGGAATTATAGATTTGCCAGGGAATTCAAGTGAGATGGTGTCCAGTGTTTTCTACCAGTCTGTTCTGAACAGAGAAGAACAGAATAGCAGACAGTCTTTACTGTCAAAACCCAAACAGGGTCTTCAGTCGGAAGAAAGTGTTCAGCAACCGGTCTGTGCTGGTTTTAAAAGAACCTCTGTTTCAACTGTTCAAGACCAAGAGGAGTTATACAATGGGAAATCCAAATCAAAACAGCTTTGTAGAACTCAAAGTTTGCTTTTAAGAAACAGTACAAGACATAATAGTTATATCAATACACCAGTAGCTGAGATTATCATGAAACCAAGTATTGGACAAGGCAGTGCAAGTGTGCAAACAGCTATGGAAAGTGAACTCGAAGAGTCTAGTGCCACAATCAATAAAAGACTGTGTAAAAGTGCTGTAGAACTTTCAGAGAATTCTTTACTTCCAGCTGCTTCTGTCTTGACTGGCATACAAAGTAAGGCTGTTTTCAGTGCATGCGATGTTAACTTTCACTGTTACTAACTGTGCTTTGCATCTGTGGTTTCTCTGCTCTGCAACTGCTTTATTTTTTTCCTCCAAAAGAAATTATTGTAAAAGATATGTCATGATATAACCAACATTTATTTTCCCTACTTAAAACACTTGATTTCTTTTCCAATTTTTATTTATTCTGTGTCATTTTATTTGTAATAATTGAAGGATTTTTAAAAATCCAGATTGTAAAAAACTAATAAGAATCTTATTTTGCTTTTGAAGAATGAGGGAATTTCCAAACATAATTAAAAGAAATGAAATACTAAGAAATTATATTACCTTTTTAAATAAATGTATATTCTAGTCATATGAAACCTAGTATCACTGATGGTTTTGGGGGTGGGGTGACTGCCTTCTAGGTTTGCTGCAACCTCATTTAGAACGAATTGCCATCAACGCCCTACAGTTATGTTGTCTGTTACTTCCCCCACCAAATCGTAGAAAGCTTCAGCTCTTAATGCGCATGATTTCTCGAATGAGTCAAAATGTTGATATGCCCAAGCTTCATGATGCAATGGGTACAAGGTCACTGGTAAGTTTATTTTTAATTTATTTTTATTAATTCTTGGAGGATTTTATAGATTCCTACAATGTATTTTGATTGGCCTCTCCCCTTACTCTTTCCAGATCTATTTCACAGCCCATCACACCTCCCAACTTCATATTCTCTTTTTTGTTTTTTTTTTTTTTATAATGCACTGAGTCCATTTAATGCTGCCCATATACTCATGCATATAGAGCCATCACTGGAACTTGATTGACCTACCAGTGACCACACCCTGGCTTGATTTTGTGCAAACAACTATAGCTGTGAGTTCATCAGATCTGTCATATCCTAAATGTAGAGGTTGCTTTGAAGATGTATCATTTCAGATTAAGTGTCTCACAGATACTTATTCTCTGTGTTTGACCAATTCTGGAACTCTGTAATAGTCCCTATCTGTTATAAAGAGAAGCTTCTTTGGTGAGGGGTAAAAGGCATCCAGGTCATAGATCTTAGAGAAAAACCTACTTTTGCCACATCCCTAGGCCAAGGTAACTTCTTACTTTGTTCTAAATATGCATCCTCGTATTTACAGACAAGTGTACCTTTCAATAAGGAGCTTTGAGACAAAAATCTTCCAGGATTTGAAGACCCAGCAATAGAAATGGATACACATACTAACTCACTGCCTAAAGACTGATAGAATAAGCATTATAAGCTGTTTTCCAGTTTCCCTGTTGAATGTGTGTTCTGTGTATGTTATTTATTCTCTTGGTTTGTGTTTTTGTGGGATTTATTTAATGTAATAAGCCCTTATTCTCTAACATTAGGCTTAAGCAAAGCATCTCTGCAGTAATAGAACCAATGGTGGTGGTTGATAAAATTGTGACGAAGTTAGAGAAACTCTCAAGCCTTACATATTATATATAATCCTTTGAACTTTGTTAAGGACATACTTGACAAGTGCTTTTAAGAGGATTGGAACAAAATTCTTACCTCCATAACTATAATAAATTATTATATATTTTAAACTGTATAAATATATTTTATATATTTTAAAGTTTCTTATCACTTTATTCCACACATTTTATGTAATGCAAACTGGAAATTATTGGCATTGTAATTTGTATGGAACTTTGGGTTCTAAAATTGCCATCTTTTACCATTTCTAGATGATACATACTTTTTCTCGTTGTGTGCTATGCTGTGCTGAAGAAGTGGATCTTGATGAGCTTCTTGCTGCAAGATTAGTTTCTTTCCTAATGGATCATCATCAGGAAATTCTTCAAGTTCCCTCTTACTTGCAGACTGCAGTGGAGAAACATCTTGACTACTTAAAAAAGGGCCACGTAGGTATCTTGAGCCTTACACCTCTGCGTTAGTTACTTGCAAGTGGCAAGCTCTGCTCCAAGTAGCCCCATCAAAAAGGGAGACTTGTTAGCTCATGTAAACATCCTCTGTCAGGAATATGCAGAGACTAAGATTCAAACAGCATTGGCATCCCCTTCCTGGCCTTCCGTCTCTTACTTCCATCTCGGTGCTATGTTGACAAGTGGCTCCTTAACATCATGGGGAGCATGACTGGTTAAAGCTCATTCATCACAGCCTTGGGATTTAAATAATAGGAAAAAGCCATCCCTCCACCTCCAGTTTGAAAAGTTCTGAGTATAGACTGTGTAGATGCATGTGTGCTTGGGTGTATGGATGTGCATGTATGCATGTGTGTGTATAGAGGCCAGAGGTCAATGTCAGGTGTCTTCCTCTGTTACTCTCCATCTTACCTTTTGAGACATGGTGTCTCACTGAACCTAGAGTTAATCAGTTTGACTGGACCTTCTATCCAGAGAGCTCCAGGGATCCCCTGTCTCTGTATTCCCAACTCTGGTGCTGTAGAAGCTGCTCTGCCCAGCTTCTAAGTTGGTGCTGGGGATCCAAACTCAAATTCTCATGCTTGCATGGCAAGCACTTCACCACTAAGCCATCTCCCATCCCCTGTATGGATGCTTGATTAGCCCAACCTAAGTCAAATGTGCTTCCCTTGGATATGTGAGGGTTAGTAGAATGGAGAGAAAGCCTTATTCTGATAGGTTCCATATAGTTAGAACAAAGTTTTTTCTTTAAAAAAGAAGAGGACAGGAGTAAAATGAAAAGGAATCATTGGAGAAAGGGGGCTGCAGAGATGGCTCAGCTGTTAGGAATGTTAACTGCCTTTGAAGGAGACCTGGGTTCAGTTCCTAGCACCTACATGGCAGCTAACAACTGTCTTTAGCTCCAGTTCCAGGGTATCTAATACCCTCTTCTGACCTCCATGGGCATTGCACAACACAGGTGCACTTACATACATGCAGGCAAAACACTCGTACACATAAGAAAATAATAAATAGAAAAATATTTTAAAAGAACAGGAAAAGGAAAAAAATTTCAAGCAAACAAAAGCAATAGGTACCTACTACGTGCAAGCCTTGGCTGACCAGCACATTTCTTTATGCTTTTGCTTGTATATACCGTTGTAATATTGTCCTAACTTACCATAATTATAACTGTACCTTAAACTTTCTAGTCTTGTAGATAAATGGGCTCTGATCATTCCCTGGGTCTCACAAACAGTGACTAAATACTTTATTACTAAGTCAGAACATTGGTGTTTTAAGATGAATTAGATGAATTAGAATATGATTTAGATTATTACTGTTTTATACTTCAAAGAATCAAATCCACAGCGAAGAATGAATGATGAGAAAACAGAAGAGGTTAAAGGACTTTCTGAAAGCTGCAAAAATAGTAGATTGTGAGGCTGGGATTTAGATCCTATTGACTTGCCACTATTTAACTATATCACACAATTTTCTTCACACATTGAATGTTTGATGCCAAAATAATAGATACTAGCTCCTACCAAAAGAACTCTATGCAGGGAAAGCATAACCAGAACTAGCAGAATATTACTGTCTTGTTTTGTCCACTGACAGGTTAAAAATCCTGGAGATGAACTCATTGCTCCTCTGCCGAGGTATTCTTACTGTAAACAGATTAGTGCTCGCGAGTTTGATGAGCAGAAGGTTTCTACCTCTCAGGCTGCAATTGCAGAACTTTTAGAGAATATTATTAAAAATAAGAGCTTACCTCCAAAAGAGAAAAGAAGAAAACTAAAACAGGTGAGAATGAGCAACTTCTCAATCTTGTAGATATTTTTTAATATTCTATTAGTGATTAATGTTTTTAATGACATTTAGGGTCTACCTTCTCATGGATTTTAACTTTTATGCCACACATTGTCTTGCATTATATGTGTACATTAAAATACTTGTAAAATACATGAATGGCTTTGAGTTTACTATTTATCTTAAATGTTAAGATAATTGCAGTTTATAATAGAGTCTTATTTTTGTTACTGGTATTTTGGCTAATTATACCTAGAATTTGTCTGGGAAAGTGTATGTAAAATCTAGATTATAATATCTACCTCTGAGTGACTCATCACTACCAATGTTTAGAACTTTCAGCTCTAAAGCAAAACCTAATAGCTACATGATTCTAGCAAGAACACTTCTAAGACACTCAAAAGAGAAATGCAAACTATACCTGTGGCCTTCATGGGCTTTGCTAGTGAGAAATAAGATGTGGATTTAGAATGAGAATTAGCAGAAGAGAATCCTAGGATTTTAATGCTAACAGAGATCTGAGAGATCTTGTAATGCACAAATAAGAAGAAGGAGAAGCAAGGATAGGTGAGAGGGTACTTGACTGGCTTCATCTGGGGAAATGATGTTCACGAGCTTCTAATTCTTCCCTTCATTTTTAAGTTTCAGAAGGAATATCCCTTGATATATCAGAAAAGATTTCCAACCACAGAGAGTGAAGCAGAACTTTTTGATGACAAACCTACAATCAAGCAACCAATGCTGAGTTTAAGAAAACCAAAGCTGCGTAGTCTACGATACTGACTTTAAAATTACCTAATACTGGTAAAATTTTAGTAAATGAAGCCATACCTGAGAATCTTGCTACTAAAAAGGAGGAAATCTATTCAAAGTTTTCCCTTGTAAAGACATTATATAAGGAGGTGCCAAAATGGTCTTTTTATCCATGTGAGGCTGCTAAAGCAACTGTATCTCAGCTGAGAATACCTAGCAATCTGTGATACCAAATATTGTAACTAGAAACAATTTTGTTTTTAATATAATGATCTAGTAAAACTATTAGCATTGTATTTATCCAGATAAAGTTGTGGTGCTGTTTCTAAAAGAACTCTTGCCTATATGTGTGCTTATGATTATTAGCTAAAGAACTAATTGTTTAGGGTTACTTCTTTGCTTCCAAATATAAAAATGTGAAGAATATTTGAACGCTCAACCAATTTTCAATTGCTAAGTATTGTACTCTTTTACATAATCTTTTGATCTATTTATATGTATGTATATGTATGTGCATGTAGTTTGGTTTTTGTTTATTGGGTTTGTTAGGAGCCAGGGGAGAGGTATTTTTTGAGACAAAGTCTCACTGTGTACCCCATTTTGTTCTCAAATTCATGGTCCTCTTCCCTCTGCTAGGAATACAGGTATGTGCTGCCGTTCCCGGCTTATGTATATGTTTTCAAAATGTGTTAATGTAAGATTTTTGTTTTCCCATAAACACTATCCTAACTGCTTCAGTCTTTTTTCTAGAAATGTCTTTTGAATTCCTACATTCATAATCTACTCAACTATGAAATAGAAGTATAAGACAATTAATTGTGTTCATTCAAAAGAAGTTATTTATCAACAACTATTTGCATTTCGTTATTTCTTAAATGTGGAGATCATGATAAATAAAACCGAATATCTTCTAGAACGTAAAGCATTGATTTTTTTCCCAGTCAAGAGAGAAGCATTGATCAGGTCCTTAAAATAACTGTTTTTGTTGACATAGACAGTCCTTCAGCTGAAGACTGGCCTTTGTGAGACCAGTTCTCTAAGCTAGGGCAATTTGAATTACCAAGGACTGTCTTAAGCCATCAAGTCTATACTTTAAAGATGTTACATAGACATCAATACTCATGGATTTTTGAGATAGGACCCTGCTATGTAGCCCAGGCTGGCCTAGCCTTATCATCATCCTGCCTCAGCCTCCAAGTGCCAGGATTACAAGCATGTGCCACTACTCTCGCCTAGACATTGGTACTTTTTAAACTCTGTAAGTCATTCCATAATTCAGCTAAGAATCAATACTCTAAATATTTTTTACAAACATTTAACTAAATATCAGGCTGATGGCCCACTAACAACATCTTCACTGGAAGAAAATGCCTAGTATCAATGCCTGTTAACATCCACTTTCCAGAGCTTGCTTGATTGTCTGAAGCAATTGTTTATTCATTTGTTTCTCAATAATGTTTAATAACTGTTCCCTTAAGTGTTATTATATATTATAGGCAATGGACACTTGATTTTTATGACCATTCTGATTTCTTAATGTAATTTTATATTATTGATATATATATATGATGATAATGTTACATTTTAAAATACAATACAAATATTCAAGCATTTGCACAAAAAATGATAGGTATACCTTTAGAGCAGAAAACATGCTATAAATTATTGGACCAAATGGGATTAGGATTATTTCTGTTATTTTCATGTTAAAATTTTAACTGACTAAAGTATGTGATAATGTGAACTATGTTGCAAATTAGTATAAAAATATGGGTTTTGTAACAATTTAATTTTACTTTTGTATTTTTTGACATTAAATATATGAATATTATTTTAAAACAAACTTTAATTTGCATTAGTGTGTATACCATTGAGGTTGCAAAATATAGGATATGATACTTTAGTGACTTGGTACCATAAGTTGGATTTGAGTCCTGCTGTGATGCTTCCTAGTAACAACCTCCAGTGAGTTGCTAACCTCTCTAACCTATTTCCTTAGATCTGTAAAGTAAGGATTATAATAGTGCCTCTCTTAGGATGTTGTCACAATTAAGTTGGATAGTGCATGCAAAGTGTTTTGCACACTGACATGGAATAAGCACTCTATAAATCATTAGCTATTACTACTAAACACTAGAAGATAATCTTATCAAAACTATAGCCCTTAATTACATTGGGTAGACATGAACCAAAACAAAATTATGAAAAATTGGTAAGTATAAGTTGACTTTGTAACTGATGGCAAAAAGGTTCTGATTGAGTACACTGATTGGAAATTTTTGAGCGAGTAGAGCAGAAAATTTTGATGAAGAAGGAAATAATGAATCTTTTCAAAGCAACATCCTAGACTCAGAAAGCAGGTGAGATCCAGTGTACAAGGAGGCCTAGCCCTGCTGCAATGTGAAGATTAAAGACATTTTATGCACATAGGCAAAGAAAGTACCAACATAGACCTGAGAATTAGGCACTGCAATAAACACTGTGATACAAATAGAATGATATACATTATCTGTACCCAAGAACCTCATGTTCCAATGGAACAGCCAATATACTTAACATCACAAATATGCCAGTGTATTTCAGATGGCAGGGATAGTAGTTCACCAGGCTCAAGGATGGCCTTTCTACATAAACAGGCCTGATAAAAATTATTCCACATTTCTTCCACAGCCTGATTTTTCAAAAATATTGTTTTTATTTTATGTGTATGAGTGTATTGCCTGCGTGCGTGTAGGTATACCCATGTTGTGGAGTGCCAATGGAATCAGATGAGGGTGTTGAATTCTCCAGAGCTGGAGTTACAGATGGTTCTTAGCCACCATGCGGATGCTGGGAATTGAACCTAAGTCCTTTGCAAGAGTAGCAAGTGCTCTTAACAACTGAACCATCTCTCTAGCCCCCATAGTCTAATTTTTATAGACCACTACTGCTCTGGTTGTAGTTACTGTTTTATCACTACTTAAACCCAGCAAAAATATCAGTTCCTTCTGTTTTTAGACTGTCTAATCAACATAGGTTGGATTTCTCTCTTTTTCCTCTGGACTCCCATAACATATGTCACCTTTTAAACATTTTTTTGCAATTAAGACCATTTTTTATAGGACTCTCTTTTCTAGCATGTATATATTTTCTTCTAAATTATACACAATATGATCTTAAGTCCTGTGTCTAAAATGGTACCTGCAAAAATAGTGCATATAATATAGTTATTAATAACTATGTTTGCCAGATAAATCAACACTCCAGAAACATCTCTTTGATCTTTAAAGGGAGTTAGTTCTTCAAAGTTACTTGGACTTCCCTAGAATATATAGAATAGATCATGCCACTGCCTAATTTCTTCAACTGCCGTAATTCCAGAGAACAAAGTCCCGAACACCTACTTGGGTGGTAGTATTACCAAGGAGAATATTGGCATTAGTATGAATGATCTCAACCCAAAAGAGGTCTATTGTTTCATATTGTATCCAAAGTTACAGAGAAGACCTTTTATAAAACTAGTTGTCTGCTGTGCTCAATTCCTAACAATAAAACAAAAAGTCCAGCATCCAATAAAAAAACAAATTATAACCAGTAGAAAAATGAATTAAAAGAAACATACCTAGGAAAGAATTACTAGAAAAAACAAACTTTTTAGGAGTTATTATAAACATTCAAATGTGAAATACAGTACTAGAAGTAGAAGACATAAATGAATTCTAGAGCTAAAAAATGCAATATACAAAATACATAAAATGAGAATAAGAAAACTAGATACAATAGAAGAAAATGTCTATAAACTTGAAATCAGCAGGACAAAATACAGAAAAGCGAAGCAAAAAATAGAATAGCTTGATAAACTGTATAGTAGATGAAACTGAGCCATGAGGGCAGGTGAACACTGGAAGGAGAGAATAAGAGAGGCCAAAAGTATTGTCCAAAAATAGTGACTTTTTAAAAAAGAATTCAGTGAAAGATATTATCCCACAGTAGCTCAGGTAAACCTCAAGGTAAAATCAAAACCATGCCAGGGCACCTAGAGTCATGTTACTAGAAACTAGTTATGAGAAGAAAAATCTTTAGTTTCCAGATAAAAAACATTGTGTCGGGAACAGCCTGTTTCCTCTGAGGGGAGGGGCTTTCTGTGCCATCTTGGGATGGGAGCCTACAGGAGTGCATCAGCTGGGTGCGTGGGTCAGGAGAGAACCAAATGGTCCAGTGTTTGCCAACCTGGGGGAAGACTCCAGGCCCACAAGGCATGGGCTAAAGCTAGTGGTGACAATTGCTGCAGAGCAATCTGGAATGGCAGCCTCATGATCTGGAATGGCAGGCTCTGAGCAGCGGTGCTTTTGTTTCTTTGTAAGTCACCCCACCCCAAGGGCACAAACCATAATAAATTCACATAAAAAATATGGTTTGTCTGATAGTGCAAGAGACCCTGAGAGAACCTGGGTGACAAACATACAAGGACACACAAAAAACTTGTCAAAAACTGTGATCCATCTTATGTGCAGAGAAACCTGGATTTGAACTTGTAAATGAATTCAGTGATGTTGTAATATGCAGAGTCAATATATAAAACAATATTTTTGTACAGCAACAACTTTCTGGAAAAGAACTTTAAAAAGCAATCCCAGGGGTTAAAGGATGGCTCAGCAGTTAAGAGCATTGACTGCTCTTGCGGAGGACCTGGATTTGATTCCCAGCACCCACATGACAACTAACAACCTTCAGTAACTCCAATTCCAAGGGATCTGACACCTTCCTCTGACCTCGATGAGCATTGCATGACACGTGACATGGGTGCACTTACATGCAGATAATACACTCATACACATAAAATTAAAAAAAAAAAAAAAAAAGCAATCTCAACCTTTTGGCAGTTGATGGCTGCTGGGAGGGGGAAAGACAGTGGCTTATAGGGATAGACCCACACTGAAGGACATTTGGGGGCACAAATCAGACTTCATAGGACACATTATATGTATATGAGAGTTCATTAAATTGAGTAGGAGCAGATCTAAATACCATCAAACTATATTGTATGAAAATCACAAAAATTCAATAAAAAATAAAAAGCAATCCTATGTACAACACACACACACACACACACACACACACACACACACATACACACACTTGAATTACTGTGAATCAATTTAACCAAGG